CAGAGTTCCCATCAAGTCCCCCTACTCTCTTGTCCCCTGCCTTTGTTTCTCATGAACATCCCATTTCCTCCACTCCTCAAGTGGAGATGCCAGTCCTGGCTACTCATGTGGCTGAAACGCATTCCTCTTTTCACAGTGTGCAAGCACCAAGGGTTAAGTCTCCACTAATAGGACAGCCAGAGGAATATTCAAGTCGTGTCCATTTGCAAACAAGCCATGCAACTTCATTATCAAGCCAAACATATGACACTTCTTTTGTACAGCAGCCGAGGTCACTTACCCCCAAGTTAGATGTTTCTGCACCCCCTGAACCACCCACCAGAAAAATGAAACCTGAAATACTCCATATCCCTAGGCAGTATACCATGATTACATCCCCAACTCATCAGCTGGATAGGCCTGTAACTCCAAGAAGCAGTAAAAGCCGTGAACCACACACTGAAGTCCAGAGGCAGTCAGGTTCCAACACACCACAGTACACGAGGCCAGAAACGACCCTTCCTGCACCATCCACTGTCCTGCCAGAAAGGTTAAACCAGCAGGCTGTATCACCACCGCCGCCACCACCACCATCTGCCTCCCAGAGTCCTGCCAGCTCATCACCCAAATCAAAGCCAGCAGTGCCCCCCAAAAGCAAACTTAGTGGCTGGTCTCGTCTCAAAAAACATTTGGTAGTAGAATCTGAAGTTCCTCAGGTCCAAGTCTCAGAATCTGAGCTAGAGCAAGAAAGAGAAAAGACAGTAACTGAAATCTCAGCAGCCGACCCAGGTCAGGAGAAAAAAGGAACCAAGTCAAAAGCTATCAAGATGTGGGATGCCATCTTGTACCAGATGACAGTCAGCAAGGAAAAAAGGCAACAAGCTGAGGAAGAAAAGGAAATCAGAAAAGAGGGGATGTTTTCATTCCGAAGACGTTTACCACTGCTTCTCCACAGGCCACGTTTTGATGCCCGGAAACTGAAAGAGCTGGCTTCCAAGCCCATGACAAAGATCACTACTCTGTTTGATGTGCGTCGTATCCAACGCCAACCATCTGAAGAAACGCAGATGGGTTTTAATAGGAGGGCGTCTGGGTGGCAGGTGAAGGAAAGAGAAGAATAGATGTTTCCTTGAGAAGATGATCAGTGGGTTGAATCTAAAATAAATCCAGATTTTACTAAAGCAGCACTTGAGGGAAAAAAATAAAATAAAATCTTTCACAGCGTCATTATCTATATACCGAAAGATGAATATGCCTGTTTTACTCAGGTTTAACAGAGAGAGCCTTGTTTTTAGAATAACAGCCTATATAGAAATAAGAAGTTAAAACCATCTGCTGAAATAAAATATAAGATGGAACAGAAATATATTGGCTTGCTCCACCAAGCCTATCTTTTATTCTAAAATAATGCCAAGTTCTTGGCTTTTTGTCCATATCCAGTCAATGGTGTTTTGAACAAAGCTAAGCAATCATCCCACATCATCGTACACATGTTCAGGATCTCTCTCTTCCCATCCCCCTTTGAGTTCAAAAGCTGTCCACAGGTTTAGACCTTTTGGTTAGAGGACAAGATGAGTAGGATTATATCTAATAGTAGGAGCAATGATTGCTTTCACAAGCTACTTTCATGTTTCCAGCAGGAAAAAAAAAAAGTCTCTCGTGTATAGCCTAAATCTAAATTGCAGTACTAACATGCACCCAAAATTGTAGTTTGAAATCAATAGTTATACAAGAACAAGGTTCAAGATGGCTTCATATTTTTAAAAGATGACATTAAAAAGATAAAGCTGTTTGGCTTAGCTCACATGAGCATAAAAAGTTGTCTGGCAGGCCTCTTCAGAGAGAAAATTTCAGTTTCCCCATCAAAAGAATCATTGACAGGTTTAATATCTCATAGATGCAATTTCCTAGAGTAGAGCTTTTGATAAGGCTCTTAATGAATAGGTACATTAATAAAGATACGTTTCCCTTAAGGTGCTCTGGTAGCCAGGCCATTTGCAGCATAAGCACTGAATTGAGAAACAGGGCAAGCAGTGTTGATTCCACAAAAGCCGGGATAATATTCTTTCTTGGGCACCCCTCAAGACAAAGTCGAGTTGTGGAATCTAGACAATTCTGTACTTCTCTTAACTGCAGTGAAATCAATTTAAACCATTTGCAAAATGTAGTGTGGCCACATCAGGGATATTTTCCCCTAGAAAGCAGCTGCAGACCAATTTTAAACATCCAAAAAAGTGAAAATCCTGTGCAAATAAATATCAATTTAACCCGCTGAACCTAGCTTTTAAACAATGTCAGGCAATTGCCGATGCTCGAGGCCATCAGCTCCAAAAGATTAACAAAAGTTTTCTTTTTTTAACTCATGGAGGGAGCCTGGAAAAAAAGACTGTTGTTATCATCACCATCATCACTAGCCATGGATTCATAAAAGAGTAATGCTAAGCCATCTAGAATGTTTTCCACTGAGATACTGCAAAAACACAGTCGAGTCAGATATTCATATCACTGTTTTATGGAAAGATATTATAATCATGCTATGGCTAAATTTTAATATCCCAAATGCTAAGATAATTGCAAAACAGGAAGTAGCCAATGGCTATTGATGTAGCAGAGAAATAGCCACAGACTTCCTATTTTGTACTTGACCGAATTTGGCAGTTTTGTGATTAATGGCATAGATCTTCAGCCATTTCACTATCATTTTCCCATTGGTAGTTGTAAAACACAAGTATCTGCTATCAAAATTGGAAAGATTTAGGGGAAAGCCTTCCTTCCAAAATCCATATAAGGTCTTGACTATCAAACTAGACTCAAAGTGAATTTGGGAATCCTTGATGCTCTCCCCTCATAGAGCCAAGCTGTGTATGCATATGCTATACACTGATTTCTAATTATCAATATAAAGAAGCCCCAGCTACTGTTTCCTCTATGTATCATTCATCTAAATCTCCTGCTTTTGTTTCTCTACACCAGTGGTTCTCAACCTTTCTAATGCCGTGACCCCATAATACAGTTCCCCATGTTGTGGTGACCCCCAACCACTTATACATCACCGGGTGCCAGGGGCGTGGCCAAAGAAAAGGGGAAAAAATGGCGGACAGCCTTGTTTGGCGACCCCCGTGAAATGGTCGTTTGACCCCAAATGGGGTCCCGACCCATAGGTTGATAACCACTGCTCTACACAATCACAAATTTAGAATGGATGACTTGAATGGAAAAATGGGAGCTGGTTAAAGTAGCATCTCCCTGAGAGACTACAGGTATCTCTTTATGTCTTGCTTGTTTAACCACCTCATTGCAGCAATGAATGTTCAACCATCCCATTCCACAATGTTGTGGATACGTAGAGTGCATCAGGAGTGCCACTCAATCCTTCCAGGCTGTGAAAAAGGCACACATCCTTCAAGTTAAAGTTGGCTAGAAGGAGTATTAGTATGAGTTGAGTTTCACTGTATATAGTTGTATGCCCAGTTTTTACTCCAGCATTGATGCTTTGAAAAGTGTGATGTGGATAGCAGATTTTAGGCTACTATAGTTCTCTTGCAGATCCTCTGTTTTGTATCATAGGAAGCAAACTACCATCACCTCATGATCTGTTTTTCAGAAGAATTGCCAGAAGAATGAGAACAAACATACAATTCCAAAAATACCATCACGGAAGGGATAGAAGGGAATCCCTGAGTTCTTTTCTGTTATTCCAGTATTTACACTCTCATTGTATGCCATGCAGTAGTAGACCATAGTTTTTGATCCGATCATTGGAAAACAGGTTTTTTTGTCAGCTGCCTGTTGCCTAAGAAATCTCAAATGTGCATATGAGACATGGAGCTCAGTCTCCTTTAGTGTGAATACATGGAACACCAGAACTTCTTAGCCACATATATTTAGCAGTACCTCAGGGCTTAGAATCAAAATGTTGAATTTTGCAGCAAGCAGGAAAACTGCAAGCGGTTTTCCTGCCTGCCACCCAACTTACCAAAACTGAGTCAACTGATATGTTTGTGTTCACTTTTGATTGGTGTGTTCTACTCATTATTTATATTAACAGTGTCTTAAAGTTTACATATAGGTAAGAATCTAAGGGTATCACATACTGTATTGCAAAAAGGACAGGCAAGTAAAGCAATGTAATGTTAATGTCTTTTGTCCTAACTTTAAGGGCAATGTAGTAGGAGATAAAGATATCCTGGACTGATTTAGCTGCCTTATTCTTTTAAAAGGTTATAAAAGCAACGTTCAGTTTCGGACATCTTCAAATATGTTTTGTTTAGCCAAAATTAGTTGGGTCGGGAGAGAATTCTAAGGTAAAGAAAGAGTACACAAATCACAGGTTTCAAATGTCTGGTAGAGCAAGTGCCAATGTTTTGAGATGATAATATAAGACATGGAAGGTATGTTGAGCAATGAGGAAATAGAGATATTTGGTTCCTAAGACAAACAAGTAATATGGTAAGAAAAGAAACAGTCATGTATGATGGAAGCAAAAGATGTTCTGAGCTTTTTCTGAACTTATCATGAATAAGCTAGGATGGTTTGTCATTGTTACAGAAACACTGAGAGAATTCTTTTCACGGCTATAGACCCACGCATTTCAAAGGCAGTTCATGGGAAATCCTGACTCAAGAACAATTTTTATAAACTTTTGAGTATGTAGATTGAATAAAGTGTTTCTATGGAAAAAAATGATTCTTGTTGCTAGTAGAGAGTCAAGAAATGCTACCTTAAGCAAACACATGCCTCTCACATACATCTCTTAAAATACACCGCATGAATCATTCCTTAAATACTCCAAATCCAACCTCAGGTTGATTTTTGAGCTTAAAATGTGACTGGACCAATAAAACACCACGTTTGCAGTGTTTGTTATCTTATTAAGGGAGAACGTGACAAACAATCACTTTATCAAGAATTCTTCACTACTCGTAGAATTCTGGTAGCAAAGCAAGACGGGACATGGTGAATATTATTGACTTTATATATGCAGAAAGGATTTGCAAATGCTATTTAGTATGCCATCCTACCTTTACCTGTGAGTTTGGTACCAGGACAGCTATTTTTCCGTCACCCCATCATCTTCTATTGGCACCCTTTTGTACTGTCCATGTCCAATTGCCACATACTTATATTTCTTGCCAGGAATCCTGACCTAAAAATGAGGGTGAGAAATTGCAATTTCAGTGATTAAAACCCAAATCCCTACCACCATTCCACCCTACAGTTTTTGAAGTGCTTTGAAAAACCTCAGTTTGACCATTAGCCATCAAATATGGGCTGGTTTGATGCGCTGGGCTTCTGCTCCCTTTCTTTGGCCTGAAAGTTTAAACTACAGCTCATTATTCGATACCAGGAAAACCTGGAATTCTGTATCCAAAAGCAAAATCACTTCAAATCTCCGCAGAAAGATAACTCAGAAGTTAACAAGCAAATCTGCTGAATAGTTATTCCAGCTGCTCCTACACCTTAAATCAGAGGTCCCCAATTCCTGGTCCATGGATGGGTAGCAGTCTGCAGCCTGTTGGGAACCAAATCTTGAAAGTGGGAGGCAAGCATGAGAAACCATCCTCTCTCCCCCCCCCCCCCCGGTCACTACCAGTCCGTGGATCCAGAAAAGTTGGGGATGCTGCTTTAAATGATACTTCTTTGTTATTTTTTGTATTGCATTGCTTTTCTTGTGAACTGGTTATTAGTCATTCAGAATTATTTATATAAGATATGCAGTTGTATACATTCCTTCCTGCCCCCCCCCCAAAAAATAAATGCAATAAATAAAATGAGAACAGGGTCAAGAATAAAGATAGAAGAAACAAAGTGGAAAAGAGAACATAAGTATACACATTGCAAAGGGGAATTTTGGTGATTCCTTCTCTCTGCCCTTCTGTTTCCCATATTTATTCCTTAAATATTGATGCTATACTTTACAAAGCACTGGAGGTTTTTCTTTATATTTATTTAAGTCATCCATTGTTTTCAATCTCTTGACTCTTTCTCAAAGCCCTATGCCAAATTTCTGAATCTGCTTTACTGTGTGATATGTTGCATATAAGGGAACAATTCATAAATTTATTTTTTTTATTTATTAATTTGTATCCTGCCTTATTATTTTGACAAGTAACAAGCAGTAAACATATCCAAAACATCTTCTTCCTCCCATTTTCCCACAACAACCATCTTTTGAGGTGTTGGGCTAAAAAAGACATAGATGGCCACTCACCTGGAATTAAAAAATACATCCAATCCAGTTTCATAGAAAATTAAGAAAATTTGCACAACTACCTTGGAGTTAGTTACTTGCAAATTTTCCTTTCCTCTGTTCAACCTCTTTCCATCCCCTTTTTGGATGGAGATATGGCAATGAAGCACATAGAATTCTGATTTGTGTGGAAGAACTGGGCAGGAATGTGTGACCCAAGATTAATCAATGTGAACATTTGTTTTTAGCTCCATAGGTAGAGGCAATATGCCTCTGTATGTCATTTGTTGGGAAATGCAAGCAGGAAGATGCTATTACATGCCTGACCTGGTTGTGGGCTTCCCCAAGCAGCTACCTTGCTTTTGGCAAAATAAAACGTTGAATTAAATACATATTTCACTTAATATAGTGGAACAATTTTCCTTTAATACGATGAACAAGAAGAGCTTGCATTCAATGAGCTGAGGAAGATCCAACTGCATTCAGCCACAATAATGGAACAATCTTCCTTTTAATATTCACAGGATGGCTTGAAGGGTGCTTTGACAATGCTTTACATCAGGAGCGTCAAACTCGCCACATCACCTGATGTGTTGCAACATATCGTGACTTTTTTCTCCTTGCCAGAGTTGGGGTGGGCAAAGCTTCTGCATAATGCATAATGCATCAAACTGCCAGCCTGTGGGCTGGCAGTTTGACACCTCTGCTTTACGTGAAGCATCTTTTCAAAGCTGCATTAGGAAAAGTGAAATGGAGCTGCTGTGTTGTTTCATTTTGCATCACTTCTGGGCCCTCTTCCAGCAAAGCCCCATGAGGTCTAACACACTTGGCCACTTATACAGAAAAAATTAGCTTCATCATAGCATTTTCCCCAAAAGGAAGCAGCAATCCTCACCTTCGAATTTGCATCTGTTTGGGAGTTCTCCTTTTGTTCCCAAAGGCTTCTTATATTCACAATGTCTCCAGCCACAATGTCCTAGGAAGAACACAGATGTGATGAGAGGTTTGAACTGCCCCTGTGAAAAAGTCTTATGTTTTGCATCCAATCTAGAGTTCATCCATATTGGTACCATTTGGTTGGTGACATTTATACCCTGACAACATTTTCATCACATGATCAATATCTGTCGAAGAAATTGTATCTTTCCAATAGTAGGGATTTGACCACAGTCAAAAAAAAAAAAAAAAAGAATTACCTTGCAGGGCGTTGATTTTGTAGAAGACTGAGTGACTTCCCCAGTCTCCCAAAGGTTTTTTGTGCTAGCCACTGCTGCGATATTGGTAGGAAGGTCAATGGAAAGTTGGCGTGCTGGCTTTGGAGTTTTGCTGGAGTTCTGCAAAATAATATAAGGGTGAACTAGCTTTCTAATTTCAAACAACCTCTCTTTCATAGTCAAGCATCTTTATGAACCGATTTAGGAAGAATCAGCATAATGGCAGTAATTCACTTCAGCAACTGACCAGAAAATATCTCCTCCTGACAGCCTTTGTGTAGCAATATCACTTAGACTTATATACCATCCCATCATGCTTTACAGCCCTCTCTGGATGGTTTACAATGTTAGCAGATTGCCCCCAACAATCTGGGTCCTCATTTTACCGATCTCCAAAGCGTGGAAGGCTGAGTCAACTTTGAGCTAGTCAGGATCAAACTCTGCTGTAGGCAGAGTTGCCTGCAGCACTGCATTTTAACCTCTGTGCCACCAGGGCTGTAATCTCCCATCAATGGCCATGCAGAGAAAAACAGTGCACAGCAGCTCAGACATCTATGGTACAACACATTGCCTTCATTTCATAGTCATAAATCAGTTACATCACATAAGAGAAAAGAGAACGCCATCAGTCAGGTTCAGCATCCATACGCAAGTGTTACAGTATCAGAAGTTGGATTTTAGCCCATTGGGAATTAATTGCCAAACAAAATATTGTAACGCAACTCTACTTTTTGGCTGCCATGAAAAGGAGGACATCTTCAGAGCACATCAAAAGCTAAAATCTTGCATGGGGGACAATAGTGCTCAGTTAACTGCCAATGATTGAAAATCACTGGAATTAGTCTTTTGAATACCACATTTCTTAAAAAGACCCCAAAAGTATCTCTTTGAAAAGCTTGTCAAAGTCAGTGAGTTTAAGCTCACCTCAAGTGCGTGAGTGTATTGCTCAAGCTTATCATCAATCTTGGAAACTGGAAGTGGTGCCTGGGTCTTCTTCATACTGTTACTGGATGGAGAGAAGATGGTAGAAAGGATGCTTACCACTGATGCTTACCAACATTTCAGAGCCTAATCACCATTGTTTATTCAGAATTATGATCCGTGATTTCCACAATTTGCACAGATCACATGTCACACTAAATGGCAACGTGGCTTACTTATTTGTGGCTTAATTTTTGTATGAACCCAGCCAGGATGATTTGTAAATCATGATTTGTGGTTATCTGTATCTGTATCAAATGGAGTTTATTTAATAGCCTTTAGTTAAGCAAACTACAGTTTAATATGTTATATAAAACATACACAAGAAGAATAAGTGGCAGCAACAATTCAGAGTGATTTGTTGACTGAACCCTGATTAGAGTTCTCTAAATTCAATGAACGTTTTAACTTGTTTGATAAATTCTGAATGCCTAGAAGGAATGCATAATAGAATACTGGAGAGATGGAGAAATTGCCTTAACAGGAAATAGTTTCTGCAGCTCAACACATTGAAAAGTGACCTTTCAGACACACAATGATCATGAACAAAGCATCATTCTGAATTATTTGCAGAGCTCACAGCAAAGCTCTTTCAATAGGTGGCATCATAACTCGAGCTTTCCACTAAATGTTATCCACATTCTTGTACACTGTATTTGGCATTTGAAGTGGCATTTTAAAAGTTTCTTATTTTAATCTCATTTTATTTAACATATACTGCTGAACTGAGCCTCATGTTATAACAGATTTTACCTCTGTCTTTAGTTACTTGGGAAGATTGTATCCAGAAAACAAAATTACTTGGAGACCGCTACCATAGCCCACTGAAAGGACAAAGGCCATACAGCTTGGAACATTCATTATTTCATCAGAAATTACCTTTTCTGCACAGATCGGTTCAGGGATTCAGTTCTGTCAGTGATCTAAAAACAGAAACAACAGCTTCATTTGGACAGTTGCCTTGAGGAAAAATACGAAGTGTGGGTTGGTGCCAGCTTCCTTTCCAAAAAGAAGAATGGGTAGGGCCAAGATTCTGCTGCCTTTCTTATGCTGTCAGACATTAGGGGATTTGACAGGAAAACAGAGATATGCTTAAAGTACTTATTCCATCCCTTAAAAACTCTTGAAACTCCTTCCTCAAATAGGGCCTAGCATACCATTCAAAGTCTTCAAATGACAAACCTTGTTGAGCTTGACTGCATAGAAAGAAAACTTTTTGGGGTATTACTCTACTTTGATCACTTCTATAAGGCTTTGGGCTTGTGGTTATAAACTCATCTGTTAATCAGCATTTCCCATGCCTCCCTACACAACTCAATACATACCTTTAATGTTGGGCTTAAAGGACTTTGACATTCCTCTTCCTGACTGGAATTACTTGGGATCCTTTGTTTTTCTGGGACCTCTTCTTGCTCATATTGCCATATTTTCTTGTCCTGGAGGGAAAAATGCATAAAAGGGGAGCATTTGCTCAATGCAACAAATTTCTCTCTTCTCAGTCAAAGCTACAACAAAGCAACAACATGCTAAGAAGAACCCACCTCAGCATGTTTAACCATACAGTATGTCACGGGAAATCAGCACATAGTTAAGTCTGGCTTGGTCTGACAGATGTGAAGCGACACTGTGGCTTTGTTTATAAACAAATTCTGTGGCTTTGTTTACTTGGTTTATAGCTTACTCTTTCATGTAGTTGCAGCTACTTTTGACTTAATTAAAAAATCCTGGCTTTTAAAAAAGCCAGTTTAGTATGAAGCTGGAGAGAGTCTTGCAGTTTTCTAGTCTAGTTGTTTTCTTGGAAAACTGAATCTGAAGTATCTAGGGAAGCAATTTATGCAGGGTTTGAAGATCTGAGATGAGATCTGAGGCAGAACCTCTGATTCTCCTACACTAAGGGCTTCAGTGATCAGCTATTCAGGGCTAGGCATCAGAAAAAAATGGATTGGAATAAGCATACACACAAACTCTGCCACAAACACATTTAAAACAGCCCAGCCACATTTTATTTTCAAGCTAGCACAGAATCCTCAGGAGGGAATCTTTTCTAAGTAACAGCAGAGAAGTCTGTTGTCCTTGTGCAAGGTTCAAAGCACTTCGTTTTATCAAATTTTATGAAGAATTTCAGCTTTATCAAAGCAAGAGTTCAAACAAATACACACATATATATAGGTGGAAAAAAATTACACTCTTTATGTTGAAGAGTAGCTTCAAGAGTTGCATTATTCATCAATTTTTAAATGACTAGAAAAATATTTTAACACTAATAAGATGGAGTTCTGTGTTGCTAGATTTAATAATATACTGCAGGAATGAGTGTTACATCAATAGCACATAGTTTTTAGTTCTTTTTAATCAATATTTTAATACTGTTGTATTATTTTTCTGTTGTATTTCACCAGTACATTTTTAAGATAGTCATGTTCTTACAAATGCAACCTAAAATCTCATTCATTTTCTTGCTCCTTTTTAATTTGCTTTTCAAACATATACTATTAAATCCACTACAACTATTTTCCACATATATATGGAGCCCATTCCCAATTCTTTGCCATTTCTCTCAAATACTCTCTACCAAAATTTTAAAAAAACTGAGTTTTATCAAGATAAAATACTTGGATATATATGTATCACACTAAGTTATATTGTGCTAAGCCATATACAATTATTTATAAGTTACAATGGCTGGGTTTGCACTGCAGGTAGTCCTTGCTTAATGACCAGATTAAGACTTGGGCTGACAAGGATTGGTAACCTTCATCCTCCTCTTATAATCTGCTAATTTAGAATATAGAATAACAGAATTGGAAGGGACCTTAGAGGTCTTCTAGTCCAACCCCCTGCTCAGGCAGGAAACTTTATACCATTTTTACTGTTTAATGGCAGTAGAATATAAAGTTATACATGTGTTTAGAATTTGGCTTTCTCCTAGCCCTCTTTTGACCAATTTCTGTATTGTCCAGCTACTCCATTTTCATTTTAGCCCCTTCATTCACAGACATAAGAAAAAAATGGTCATCTTCTGACACTTGCCACTAGCAAATTAGCAAAAATGTTTAAAAACATGTCAGATGGATGTTGGAAATGCAAACATAAGTCAGGCACTTATTACCATGTTTGGTGGACATGTGCCAAAGCAAAGAGTTATTGGGAAAAAATACATACGTAGCTAGAAAAGATGTTGGGAAAATATGTAGATTTTAAACCTGAACTTTTTTTATTAGGTATAATGCCAGAAAAGATTGATAAACAAAGCATATGTTAAATTTTCCATGTAACAACAGCAGCAAGAACTATATCTGCGCAGTATTGAAAAAATGAAGAAATACCCTCAGATGAAGAAATAATTAAAAAAATACTAGAATGCACGGAGATGGATAGACTGACTTTGAGGTTGAAAGTAAAAGAAGAAATGGAATATTATCAAACTTGGGACTTATTTTATCAATGGCTTGAAGAAAAAATAAAGGATTAGGAATTAAATTTGTATTAGAGAATGTAAACTCAGACAGCACGTTTGTTAACAAGTACTATTGAATGTATGAAAAAAATCAATAAAACTCTTATATATAAAAAAAGAATGGCCATCTTCAGCTAAAATTATGTTTCTTAGTTTCTTCTCATTCAGCTGGACAGTTTCAGTTTGGAAAATGTAGTAAGGATACTTGAAAGATACCCTTTTTTTTAGAAATGCATCTTTCATTTTATGGCCTCTCAAACTCAGATACAAAGGAGGAGGAGGAAATGATGGCAGAAATCTTTTTTTTTTTTTCTGACCTTTTGGTTTTCTTCCTCTTCCTTGGGCTTATTCTCTTCTGTAATGTTCTCTTCTTGGAGCTGGTCCTCAGCATACTGATTCCCTTCTCCAAGCTCCAAGGTTTCCCTAATCTGCTGCTGTTGCTCCAGCTCTGCTTCAGGCTGATCTTCTGAAGTTGAAGTAGAAACAAACTTGAGGAAATTGGATGGTCCGGTTTCAAATCGGATGAAGGTGGGAGACTCCCCATCCAGATGGACTTGCTCCATCATTCCTTCTGCTTCCTTTAAATTGCTGTCTTCTTCCTCGCAGGAGTGCCTTGGTGACCTAGGAGAGAGAATTGGCAAGTGGGAAAAAATTAAGAGCAGAAAGGACAAATGACCTTTTCTCCTTAAGAAAGAAGTGCAGTTTTTAATATTTTTAAAATCATAAATAACGCTTACTTTACTAATTTAAAAGACAATAATTTCTGCCAGTTTGATTTTTAGGAAAGCAATTGCTTGATGAAGTGGTAATGTATCTGTGAAGGCTGAATATTATAACATTCCCTTTAGAGCCAAGACAATTATTCATGCATAGTAAAAAGGATTTTGGAAATATTTATGCGGAACAAGTGATATCCTGAAGGTAATAGACACTAATTCCCAGGTATAACATAATCACCTGGACACCCAAAGGAGCGTATCCAAATGTCTTTCTTCATTGTGCAAGAATTTTTATGCTATATATTTTTTTCCAATGGGGAATTTACATTTATTGGTTTTACTGTGCCCTCTAAAAGAGGTAATCCAATTATAATGTTTAATATGATAGAAAGGAAACATTAAAACATGACTAGAACCTATTCATTATAATTAATGTGATGATCATGATTATTATCACTTTGCTTTTCAGCCAATTCCAACCCACTGCTTTTGGGGGAGAGTGGCCTACAATATAGCACTCAAAGCAGTGGTGGGATTCAAATATGTGAACAACCGGTTCTCTGTGTGAATGCCACTTCTGGAAGTCCATTCTGGGCCTGGGCAACAAAAAAATAACTACCAGTTCTGCCGAAGTGATGCGAACTGGCTGAATCCCACCATGACTCAAAGTATGAGTGGAGCCTTCAGCCAAAAAACAAAAACAAAAAAAAGGCACCCTGGCTGAAAAGTTTGGGATGGAGATCAGCATGAGCAGAAGTTTACAGCTGGAAATCTCTAGCTTGCTTCCAATTATGATTACAGTCATCCAGTGACATGGAACCAAACTGTGGTGTGGCCTTTGGATCATACTTCACAGAGAAGGACACAATCTGTGTTACTGCTTAGAATGAAAGCTCCTTCTAAAAGCCAATTCTATACAAAGCACTAATAGGTAGGAAAGGAAAAGCCATCTGACTGAAAATGGGTTCTGGCTTAATAACTCTTAACAACTTAAGGGCAAAAGCATGAACATAATTTAATGCCCTACCTCACCCCCTGCTAGCTTGGAGCAAAACTCCACATTTGTCTTCCGATATAAATCTACATCCATACATTAATAAGAAACTTGTAGTATTTTAAAACAAGCAGGAATTGCTCTTCTATAGCTAAGGAGTTTGTAATTGCTACTCCAAAATATTTCAGACTTGGGCATAAATCTAGAATTTAATACAAACCTGATCTACAATGTTATTTGAGTAACTGAAATAGTCTCATTCAAAGACATTTTTACACAGTAGTTCTGCATCACTTTATAACAATTAGCTCCCCATCAGCCAATATTAATAGCAAACTTTCTGCTTTCACTCCAGACTGCTGCAGTTCTGAAAGATAAACTATACTTGAAAGTCAAACAAGTTTCATTTCTCCTCGAAGTCGGCACTAATGCATTTAAAATAATTAGAAATTTATGAACCAGAATAGTTTCAGCTAATACACTTGTGGCCTGCACAAGGCATTCCAAATCCTACTTTATGATTTTCAAGGGCATAGAAAGCACAAGCTGTTTATGACAGTAGAAAATTCACTACCAGTTTTCTACTTTGTAAGAAAAGAGTTTGAGTTCATTTAAGACATCTAGTCCCATGGAATAGTGCTATAATTCATCAAGGAAAATGTCAAACATCACATATAATTTGTCCCTCAAATCATTTCCTATTTCCATTTCCTAAACCTAAGTCCCATTACTTGGAGCTTGCTTATATAATTACTTTTGCATGTAAAAACTAAATTGAACTTGACTTAACCTGCATCTGACCCACAACGTCCATACCAGAAACATCTGGGCATGCATGTAGGCAGTACAAAATATTATACTATATTTATATAGTTCCTTTGAGCTATTCTAAAGAGCAGCACATTACTGCAAGAGAACATGCAAAACAAATGCACCTGCCAAATTATTCTGTTGAATACCAATTGTATCTTAGATGTATTAAGATGTTTTGACTATCTTCCACCAGACCAAAAGCAAAACCCACATGAATTATGGACCAAGTTAACAAAAAAGAAAAAAAAATCATTTACAACCTACAAAGCATATTCCGAAGACAACCATTATATTGAGTAACGATCTCTTAAGCAAAAAAAAAAAAAATTACTAAGGAAAAAAGACAAACTATGTCACTATATTTATGAGACACCTGGTCTGTTTTGAGTCATTGACATTAAACTATTTTCCCCTTTTGGTGCCTTTGAGTTAGCATTGACCCCTGGAGACTACCTATAGAGGTCCCTGCAGTTTTCTTGGCAAACTTTTCAGAAGCGATTTGCCACTGCTTGCTTCCTCTGGCTAAGAGTATGTGACTAGCCCAAGATCAGCCAGCTGGCTTTGTAACTAAGGTGAGACTAGAACTCACAGTCTCCAAGTTTCTAGCTTGGTGCCTTAGCCACTCTATCACACGTGCTCTGTGAAAAGAACATCTGGTTGATTCCAAATTCCAAATCATTCCTTTCAATATATTTTCATTCACCCAATTCAGCAATACAATTTGAAAAGCTGATTTCATTTGCCAAGGTAGTGAATGGTACATAAGCCCACATCCAAATCAAGCAAAGGACTGAAGTCTATCATCTTTATTTTTAAGAATGTTTCTTAATTCCAAAATTCATGGAAATAGAGATATTAATCTGTAACATAATAGTTTAATAAGTTTGATTTTTTTTTAATGAAAATGGACATAAGAGGACTCACAAATACCATACTGGGGACAGAATGGAATGGGATAGCATGGAATACTGTTTGCCCAAACCTTGTTCACCAATTGTCCAGGGGAATTTTAATTTCAGAGTCATTGCTTTATTTCATTAAAGGAATTTCTTCAAGGGGTAAGTAAAAACCATCTTCAAACTTAAAAACTATATCAGTTTCTGCTCTGTCTTCCTGAGCAGAAGCAGCAGCTCCTTTTAATTCTCTCTCCTCACCCTTATCCAAACAGTTGCTTCAAATAATTGCTTCCTGAATCTTTCCTCCCTTCTTTTCTCAGCACTCTGGTGTGTGTGTGTGTGTGTGTGTGTGTGTGTGTGTGTGTGTGTGTGTGTGGTATTCTTAGGTTAGTGCAAATGTGCAATCCCGCTAAAAATGATTGCTTGTTCAGTTTCGCTGAAGTAAATTTGAAGATATTGAAAAGAAATCTAAAAATAAAACTAGTGCCTGCAACACAAGAGAAAAAGGATGGTGGAGTTTATCCAGTTCTGTATTTGTTGAAGAAAATGAGTTAACCAGACAACTTTAGAGGAAGAGCTGATTGAATTTATATCATGTGTAGGAGAATTTTTGCTGAATATACTCAATTCCTGGATCATTATAAAAGGGAAAAAGGAAGGGGGAAACCCCAAAAGAAACTTAAGCATAATGAATTAAATTTTCCAAAGGAAAAATCTTCCTTTAGATTAGAAAAATCTAATGCCACCATTAGAGATTTAAACCCTCTTGCTTTAACTACGGAACATTTTTTCAGAAACTCTAAAAATAAAACCACAAGATTGGGAAACATGGGGGTGATAAAATTGAAGGTATCTTACTAAAGGCCTTGAAATAGAATTACAATTTAGAAAACACACTGTAGGAATCTACTTACTTTCAATTGAGTCCACAAAGTAGAAAATTTAAGTTTTGTCCTTCCTAAATGCATTCCCTCAGTTAAAAATGGTAATACCTTTGCTCTGAGCTATGGCAGGTGCTCTACATTTTTCTTCTACTAGTTGAAATAATTTACTAGTTCAAACACATGTTTGTATGCAGCTATATTTTTATAAAAAGATGGGATGGCAAAATTAATGCCTGCAAATTTATCAGTCATGCAAGTAAATTCACAAACATACATACTACAAATTAGTTCCACAGATAATCATTTGAGAAGCACCAACAGTTGAAGTGCATCTTATGATTAACCACAGGTTGTGGAATAAACTACAACTAACTACATTCATACAACATACTAAGACAAAGTTTGCAGATCACAAGAACTAAGACTTTTTTTCCCCTAAAAGCTCTCTAATTGCCGAGGAGCACTTGAGTTGACCTAGAGCAAAAGAAGATAAGTTTTTGTATCTTTAGCCTCTAAGAAGAGGCAATATTGTTAAAAAACATGACTTACGTACTAAAGGAAGACCTGGAATTTTTAAGGCAACTATATGGCTAAGATTAGTGGAAGCTGACTTTAATAATATATGGAAATTTTTCTTGTTTATGAAGTGAGTAATATATTCATATAAGGTCCTTTTAGCCTACCTTAAGCCTGGGTTGGCATCTTCTTCCCTGGCAAGTGCTCTGTGCTGTTCCCCAGGTGACTTAAATCTTTAATTACAGTTTGATTAATGTTCTTCCTAGTCATGAAGTTTTTAAAGGTAAAGGGCTTCTGTTAAGAACCATTTAAGAAAAACAAACCAATCGCTACAATATACAGCTCAGAGTTGTTTCAAACTGTGAGATGGGGGACAAACAAATCTGACAATAAATAAATTTGATAACAACACGGAAGCAATCAGGCTGGTTCATTATTCCAGGCAATTTCTTTTGGTTCTGTTTGCAGAACATACAAGCTATAAGTTAACCACCACACTGTTGTCAAGTATATTGTAGCTCTCCTACCCCTAATCAAGGTGTTTAGCTTATAGTTAAATAAGTTGTATAAAACCAGAAAAGTGGGTTTAATTGACTAATCATAGGAAAATTAACCAAGTTACGGCTGACATGTGACTATAGCCATAGCATGGCCAGGCTAGGCTGTATTTGGCCAAGCTAACGTGAATGTTAAAATAGAAATCTGCCAGGTTTGCAGTATATAGTATTGTATGTTTGGAGCATACACATAGTATGCCATATCTGGAGCAAATTCAGTGGATCTTATTTCAAAGTTTAAGAAATCTGCTGTGTTTCTTCCAGCTTTTCTGATTGGTTCATGTTTAGTTACTACTTCCTTTCAAGCAGTGAAAAAGATTCCCTACCTTTCTTCACCCTGTATAGGTTCTGCTTGTTGAGCTTCTCTGCATTCCCCTTGGTGAATTGGTTCCCCTTCTTGCACTCCCTCTCCTCCCCATTGCTGCTTGCGCTGTTCAAGTTTTTGGGACCAGTCACTAAAGCCTTCATCTTCTTCCAGTTCTGAGGTTCTAGAAGGCTTCCCATCAATCCTGGAACATGAGGGGGAAAAAAGGATGTTGAACACCACCAGGTTCATACAGAAAGTAATGAACGTTGTGTCTATTTATGTGCAGAATACAGGTTTCTGTTCCTAATCAGAGTGATATGCATGGTGGCATTATGACTGCCATGTTGTACTTGAGTTGCAATGCTGTCTGCAAGTACACAAGGGCAGAGCTTGCCTCTTGATGCTGCCACATGCCTTCATTACTTCCTCGCCCTTGCTCCCCTCCAAAACATTGATCTTCCTAATGTTAGAAATTATTCTTTAGTCCCAAAATGTAGCCTGGTGATATATTGCATAAGCTAAGCCCACAAATCATACTAAGACATTTGCTTTATAATTAACATTATCATTTTAAGGGAACATTTCACAACTTGGTTTCTTTCAGAAACATTGGGATTTCCAAAGGTATCTACAGCAAGCTACAATGAGACCAAAATGAAAACAGGTATGATGACATCGTCACATAAATACAGCAAGTATGCTTGCATCCCAATATCTGATACAGGTACATAGGTCCTTTACTTGTATCCCAACATCTGATATGGGTACATATGTGGAACATGACACATGTTTCACCATTTTCCCTGTCCCACAGTTATCTGAGGCATCAGGAAAATGTAAAGATGGAGAAGAAAGACTGTCCTCTACATTCCAACCCATTTCTGTTCCCTCACAATGGCACTGGGATCAAAGAAAAGGCACTTAATGAATCAAGGATGCCCGAGTCACTTCTACATATCATTCAGAATTGAAAGTAAAGGAAGGGAGAAAGCCATTTATGTTCAGTATATTTTGTGAACTCAGCCATTGTGATCTGTAAAGCATGGTTTATGGTGTTGTATAAATCAATTAAGTGTAATATATTTGGCATCCCTTTGTTAAATCATGATTTAGTGTGAAAACTAAATCTCAGATAGAAGATTCCAGAAGGCAAGGAGGCCACAAACTTTGAGGCTGGATTTCTTACAGCAGGGATGGCTCAGAGCAGAACAGCCTCTTAGAAATTGGACTTGCCCAAATGCATAGGAAGAGCGAGGAATGAAGACTAAAGGGTCTGGGACTGTGGGAGCTGTGTGGTGTAAAAGAGACTGAGGGGAATAAAGCTGGGCATGGAGATGAAATAATTGCATTGGGGAAGGTACCTTTGACATTGACATTTGAATAATATCAGCAAGAACTGGATCAAGAATATAAAAAGACACTATCCCACTTTTAAATTTGCCTCCGGATGAAAAAGGAGTTTGCTCTTAAATAACAAGCAGGTCCAAATTCTGCCTTTAAAACTTACCAACAAATAGCCTGTCAGTGGACTTCTGAGTGTTCCCTAGCAAGGTCACCAGAAAATTTTCCCATCACTAAACACTAATTCACACAGACAATTAAAATTGAAGCCAGCAAATCACTTGATACATTTGCAGGAGGTCATTAGAGCTGAAATGCATGTTGTGTGTGTGTGTGTGTGTGTGTGTGTGTGTGTGAGAGAGAGAGAGAGAGAGGGGGGGGGGGAGGGAGAGAGATGGTAGGAGGGAGGAAAATAAAGAATGACTCTTCTCTTCCATTCATTAATAAACGAAGAGAGGAAAGAAGCTCTTAAACGCAACTGGCCAGAGTCCAGCAATTGGCCTTCAAAATATATAGACTGCATTCCAAACTTATGATCCATTGAAATTCAGTACAGAGATGCACAAGTCTCTAAAACATTGTTAACTAAAAGGGAGATCCTAGTATGGATTACAAGCAAATGGAAGAGAGCATTGCTTTATTCTTTTTCTAATTTCCTCTCCTTTTTAACACTGAAGTTTCCTTGTCCCATGGAGCAGAAGGACTGGGCACCTCTAAATTGAACCCAGTTCTATTAAGGATACCATACAAATGTTACATTTCTAAATACAAATATACATGTAAAATGAAGGAGGAAAACAAAGAGAGAAATGAAAGGGAATCAGTTAGCAATTATTTCCTTCTCAGGTGCTCAAGGTAACCTAGCTGAAGAATAATTCAAGTCTTAGCCCTCATTTGACTCCCTATCATATGTTTTAAAACAATCTTTTAATTAAAAATTAAATAAATAGAAAACTGCCATACTGAAAAGATTAAGTACCAATACACAACATTGCCCATGTTTAAGAGAAAACCTGTAGGAGAAAAACAAGCAGAGTCGGGTCCAGAGTTAACCAGGTCATCACCCTGGAGTTATTACATTCCCATACACAGTCTAAGTACAATCCCTCTTGAATTTTGTTGACCTTTATCTACTGTCAATTTAGCAGTGAGCATTAATTGGCCAGATTATTGTGTATAGGCTTGAGCAATAAATCTTCTTGACTGCATCTTAACATATAGTCCTTATTCTTTGCACCTGACAAAACCTCAGAACCCCACAGAAGCACCATTGGCTTGCCTAGAACAGTGTTTCCCAAACTTGACAATTTTAAGGCATGAGGACTTCAACTCCCAGAATTCCACAGCCAGCAACGCTGGCTGTGGAATTCTGGGAGTTGAAGTCCACATGCCTTAAAATTGTCAAGTTTGGGAAACACTGGCCTAGAAGATTAAACCACCAAATGTTCACTCTGTGGGGTGTAATTTAACACAACACCTATCTGCTCAAAAAACAAGACAAAAAGAATCTAGAACAGGGGTGTCAAACTGCCAGCCCACAGGCCAGATGCATCATGCCAAAACCGTACCCACCCCAGCTCCGGCAATGAGGAAAAAGTTGTGACACATCGCAACACATCATGTGACGTTGCGAGCTTGACACCCCTGATCTAGAACATAGAGAAGTTGGGATGAGGCATTTCTAGAAGTAACATCCCCTGTTTTCTTTCTGTTCAATGGAGAAAATTCATGGCATGTTCACAACGGCAGTCTTTTGTTAGGAAAAAAATTTAACACTGCAGCTACAACTCACCAATGTGCCTCATGGGCCATAAAAGATTATCTACCTTTTTTTTCTAATTCAATTAGATGGGACAGTCTTAAAATCAGCTTGCAACATTCTATTATATATACCAATTTCTTCCAGGCAGGTGGGGAGTATGGATTTTTTTTTTAAAAAAAAAAATCACCTTCAACACCAGTTTAATCAATAGAATTTTAAAACACTGATTTTTATGATGCTGGAAGAAATAAAAAGTGACCCTTCTTTTCTGATAAGGTAAAGCAAGTAATTTATTTGGGGTATCAAAGGGATGTCTCAGCATCACTTGATATTTTTATCAATATCCATGAGTGAATTAAATTTTTCAATTAGAAAGACAGTTTTAATGATTTATTTATTTGATGTATAGTCCACCTTTGATTTAGGAGCTTAAGGCAGCACACAGAATACCCCCTCATTGTATTTTGTTCCCACAGCACCCTTGTGAGGTAGGTTGGGTTGAGAGAAAAAGACTTTGGAAAATTGCTCAAAATATCTACTTTCCCCCCACCAAATGAAGAATGTAAATTAATTTGAAACCTGTTGGGAGGGGCTAACTTGGAAAAGGAATTGAAACTGTCATTTCATAGGGGCAAAAACAGAAAAAATACTGAAGAGATTTAGAATCTATTCTAAAGAGGATTTTTATTGGAATTTTAAGTCTGAATACAAATTTAGCGAAGTATTTTTTTTCCTCCTTAATGTAATCAGCCAGGTGCTCAGGAAACCACAAAGACATGGAAACAATACACACTCCCTTACTTGTGTCCAAAACATTAGCTCCAATACTTAGAAGTGACTAACTTCTAAACATGGAGATCAGTACAGCTTCCCTCAGCTCCATGTCTGCCGGATTTGGGGATCTACCACTCCCATCAGCCTTGGTCGTCAACACTGTTGTCTTTAACTAGGGAAGTTGTAAGCCAAAACATCTGGAGAACATCTGGTTGTGAATGGATCTTTGGAGTAAGAAACTAAGTAAGGGATGTCAAGCAAAGGTAACCTGGACCTTCAGGCAATTTATGATAGTTGTGTTTTGGAAGGGGCTATGTACAACAACACAGCTTACCAGAAGTGGATGAATCATTCTAAAGACGAGTTGAATTTACTGAAGGGGAGGGGAAAAAAATCTGTATTAGCATCCTGGCTTTTGAAGCCAGAATCACAGCTGCAGAAATGGCTAGGGAGCAGAATGAAACCTATCAAGCCCAATGGAAAAGAAAAGAGAATTTTGTTTTTTTCTGAAATAATTCCTTGTTTGTATTTTTTTTATTAACCTCTCCATTGCCACTAGATATCAATGAGGCTTTGTTTTCCAATTGGATGATGTCTCAGCAAGCAGATGGCTTAATCCTAGCCAATGAAAAGTTAGGAGTGAGAGAAGCCCTTCTAATGATGGACTGAAACGTGTGAAGGAGTACTGCCATGTACACCACCATTCAGTTTCCTTCGGCCACTGCTGTCCCCTGGGCCAGCTCTAGCTAGGTTGGTGAAATGTTTGCAGGGAATATTTGGCAGGCAAGTCAAAGCAAAATAATGTCCCTCCTATTGTCCACTTTTTCAATCAGTTTCTTTCCCCTCCAGGTTCTTACCTTCTAGTGAAAACATCGAATCTCTCCGTAAATGAAGCTCCCACAATAAATGGGATATAAAGCTGTGCAAAATTTAAAAGAGGCGCTTTGCTTCAATTATACTTCAACTGGAGCACCTTCTCTAGGTCCCCACTTCTGAAGAACAAAAGTAGAGCTGCTAAAACCAGCATTCAGAAAAAAAAAAAAAAAACCACCTCTACCAGCAACTGGTAGAGAAGCAACTGGCTGACAGACTGCCTTGACTGATATAGACTTTGCATTACAAAGAGCTTTGTAAAAAATAAAGTTGGGATGCCTCCCACTGATCTAGTGGAAAATATTGGTTTTCAACAGTGTTTGTGGCTTATTATGCTCTGCTCTGGGAGCTTTAGGCAGGAATCTCTCAGAATCTTCATAAAAATCAATATATTTTAATTAAGTAAGGCATACATAGATTTGTCTATGATTTCTACCAACAAATATACAATAGACATTTTCATAATAAACTAGAAAACTAGTAAAGAGATACTTTATTAAGATTAGTTTTTATATTATGCACACTGATGTAACTGGGACTGGAGGAAAACATGAGGAACGGTTGCTGGAATTAGGTATGTCTAGTTTAATGAAGAGAAGGACGAGGGGTGACCTGATAGCAGTGTTCCAATATCTCAGGGACTGCCACAAAAAAGAGGGAGTCAAGCTATTCTCCAAAGCGCCTGAAGGCAGGACAAGAAGCAACGGATGGAAACTAATCAAGGAGAGAAGCAAGCTACAACTAAGGAGAAACTTCCTGACAGTTAGAACAATTAACCAGTGGAACAATCTGCCTCCAGAAGCGGTGAATGCTCCAACACTGGAAGTTTTTAAGAAAAGATTGGCAGCCATTTGTCCGAAATGATGTAGGGTTTCCTGCCTGAGCAGGGAGTTGGACTCGATGACTCCAAGGTCCCTTCCAACTTTATTATTATTATTATATCGATCATCGCACAGTCAGCCAGATGTTCAGACTGGATTTGGCATTTTGTCTACCTATCGAGTCCTTACCCAGGACCTGGGATAGGCAGATGTGGATGTTTGATGGTATTACAGATATCGTCGCAGGATGGAAGCAGTTCCTAATAAGGCCGCCTTTTGCAATTGACTAATAGCAAATTTGGCAATGCCAATGGTGTTCAAGTGGTGCTCCAGTTGTTTTGGGATTGCACCCAAGGAGCCTATGACTATTGGTACTACCCTTGCTTGCTTTTGCCACAGTCTTTCTATTTCTATTTGTAGGTCTTTGTATTTTGTTATCTTCTCCAGTTCTTTCTCTTCTATTCTGCTATCTCCAGGCACTGCCACGTCCACTATCCAGACTTTTTTGTCTTTCTTATCGACAATTGTTAAGTCTGGGGTGTTATGTTGCAGGTGCTTGTCTGTTTGAATTCTGAAGTCCCAGAGCAGTTTAATTTTATCATTTTCTATGACTTTCTCTATTTTATGATCCCACCAGTTTTTGCTTACAGGCAAATGATATTTTTTGCAGATCTTCCAATGCACCATTGTTGCTACTTTGTCATGCCGCTGCTTGTAATCAGTTTGTGCAATCTTCTTGCAACAGCTTACCAAGTGGTCTACTGTTTCTTCAGATTATTATTATTATTATTATTATTATTATTATTATTATGGATCATCACACAGTCAGCCAGATGTTCAGACTGGATTTGGCATTTTGTCTACCTATCAGTCCTTACCAAAGACCTGGGGTAGGCAGATGTGATGTTTGATCTATTACAGATATCGTTGCAGGATGGAAGTATTATTATTATTATTATTATTATTATTATTATTATTATTATTATTAATTGCCCAAAGTGGAAGATGCTGAGCAACGATAGTGAAAATGCTTTGTGGCTTGTCTTCCATTCTCCTATTGCTGTCTCACAACCAGTTTTGAAGCAATCACTCTGGACATCTTTTGGAGAAGGCTGCCACTGCATCCTAAACCTCAGGTAGCAGCTCTTCATTTCAAGTAGCTGAAATATCTAAGGGTTTTGGCACTTCTGAAGTGAAAGAAATAGAATAAAATGATGAGTTTGCAGTGAGGGTTCATTCACACACCTTCTCCAAAGTATATTTGGGATCTTTGTTGCTAGGATCCTCAATTATTAGTTTGAGCTACTGGACAGTCTCCTCCAAATCCCACTACCAAATGAATTTTAGCCAATGGCTACAAGATAAGAGGGCCTATTTGTGACTTGCTGTGAAATATCCTCCCTAAAGAGGCCTGCCTGAAAATCACTCACTGTCTTTTTAGCAACATAATTTTCTTCTTTCCCCAGGCATCTTACATATAAATATTTATAAGTATTTACAATTTGTAAATAACTAACAATGTATGGCCATGTACATAACATTGTAAAAAATTGTCCAGCGAATGGCTGCTCTAAACCAAGTTGGGAGAACTGACAACCCACCAAGTTGACCAATACGGGCCCATTAATTAATGCAGTGCATTCTAAAGCACTTGCATGGAACATCACAAAATATAATACAGGTACAACTTACAACCACAACTGAGCCCAAAATTTCTGTTGCTAAGTGAGACATTTGTTAAGTGAGTTTTGCCCCATTTTACAACCTTTCTTGCCACAGTTAAGTGAATCACTGCACTTGTTAAACTAGTAACTCGGTTGTTAAGTGAATCTGGATTCTCCATTGACTTTGCTAGTCAGAAAGTTGCAAAAGGTGATCACATGATCCCAGGACACTGCAACTGTCATAAATATGCCAAGCATCTGAATTTTGATCATATGACCATGGGAACGCTGTAATTTTTTTAAGTGTGAAAAATGGTCATAAGTCACTTTTTTCAGTGATGTTGTAACTTCGAATGATCACTAAATGAAATGCTGTAAGTCAAGGACTGTATTTATTAATCCCATTTATACTGACTGTCTGGTTGATGGTTGCTACCTGATTTATCACACAGAGCAGTCCTTCCCCAACCTGATGTGCTCCTGTCCAGAATTGGCTATGCTGGGAATTCTAAGAATCTCTTATATCCCTGGTACAGTCTTCACTAGATTTGGCAAGTCAAATTTAGAGAAAGTCCATGACATTCCTGAATAGTATTGTATTCAGTAATATTACTGTACTTAACTTGTAACCTCATGAAATTGATTCATTTGTTCTGTGCTGTGCTGGCATAATATGCAGATCATGTTTTCCTGTTTCTCAGTATAAAATTGTGTGTGTGTTATTATATGTATTAAATTAATTTATTCCTAGTAAGACGCCTACAGATTTCTTTATCAGCCACCTATTCATTTATAACTGATGATAGCTGATGGACAACTTAACATTCAATCATTATGTTTAAAAATTGCCTTTTAGGTCACAAACCCCCCTCAAGGCAGCTGGGAGGCAAATCTCTGCAAACAATAAATGCACAAGTTAATCCCACTGACCATGGTAGTAGAAAATAGCATCCCTATTTTCCATTAAAAAAAAAAACAATCAACAACTGCAGTCCCCACAACTATACAGGGAAAGATAAGGCTGAAAATTTGAGGGTTTTCTTAAAGGCCTACACCAAAGGAAACAGATGAACATCAGTTGATAATGAGTTCCAGAAAGCTGGAGCCACTGAAGCTAAGTATCTATGCCTCACACATGACAACTGCCTGTTCTCAAAGATAGGGGACTAAGGTAGTCAGGTTGATAAGGATAGTCCTTCAGAAAACTAGACTTTTCTCCAACTAAAGCAGCATTTTAGCTGAGCATTGACAATATTCAGACTCCTACGAGTCAATGCCTAGTGAGAAATCCCAGTTCTGCATTAACTGAAATTTCTTAACTTCCTTTAAAGCATTACAGTAGTTCAGTCTGACTCTCATTGCTCCATTGATATCCTAGACACAGACTTACTTGCTTTCTTGTACTGCCACTTCAGAGGTGCTGTTCAGTCCTTCTTCTGCCTGGGACTTCAGCTGTCTTTCACGTTCCCTTCGACGTCGCTCCCTTGCAGCTTCCTCCTCATCCTCCACACTCCATTGAGCTGTCAGCCTACCAATCAGAGAGAAAATATACAGATACGTACTTAGTATTTGCTAATGTTTCTGTTCCCAAATCCTCACCAGAAACAAGGGGCACCGGAAGGAAATTATTCTGTCAGGAAACAAGAAACATTTGATACATATAAGAACAGCTACAAATATTTCCATGTTCCTCACCCTACCCTTTAAGCCAGGGGTCTTCAACCTTGGCCCTTTTATGACTTGTGGACCTCAACTCCCAGAATTCCTCAGCCAGGCACGCTGGCTGAGGACTTCTGGGAGTTGAAGTCCACAAGTCATAAAAGGACTAAGTTTGAAGACCCCTTCTTTAAGCAGTGGCAAAGATCAAGCTGAGATCCCAGTTGGCAATCATGGGAGGTGGGGGGGGGAATGAACCATTCAAAATCCGATTGCATGTGGGGCTAGCCCTAATACAGGTAGTCCTCGAATTATGACTGAAATTGAGCCCAAATTTTATATTATCAAGTGAAACACCTGTCAAGTGAGTTTGGCCCATTTCGTGACTTTTCTTGCCACCGTTGTTAAGTGAATCGTTGCATTTGTTAAGTTAGTAACATGGTTGTTAAGTGAATCTGGATTCCCCATTGACGTTGTTGGTCAGAAGCTCACAAAAGCGGATCATATGACTCCAGGACACTGCAACCATCGTAAATACGAGTTGGTTGCCAAGCATCTGAATTGGGATGATGTGATCATGGGGAATGCTGCAACAGTTGTAAATGTGAAAAATGATCATAAGTCACTTTTTTTCTGTGCCATTGTCACTTTGAACGGTCACTAAATGAACTGTTGGTAAGTCAAAGATAAGCTGTACAGAAGGAAGGAAAAAATCTCTGAAATTAACACCAGGTAAACAATCAAGCAGTAAACAATATTCTAATCAAGCAATTACTAAAGAGAAAATTACACACACACACACACACACACACACACACACACACACACACACACACCAACACTGTCAGAGCAAGGTACAGTATATAATCAGGGAGCAAACCCAACATTCACTAGCACTGAAGATGATGCTTAGTCGAGTAATGAAACATCTGCAAGCAAACAATTAAGCTCAGAGAGCAGGAAGGACTCCATGGTTTAACCCTGAGCTACATACATTGTCTTCTATTAGAAGGAGAAAACTTAAATGAGCTGGAGAAACAGAGCCTAAATTTGGGGACTAATTCAGGCCAAATCCAACATCTCTTATGTATCTTGGCTGCAGATTGAAAAGAAAAACCTATCAAAGCACTGATGGTGCAGGAACTGATTAGGTAAAGGCTGAGTGCCAAAGAATTGAGGCCTTTGAGCTATGGTGCTGGAGAAGACTCCTGCAAGTCCCCTGGACTGCAGGGCAATCAAACCGGTCAGTCCTAGAGGAGATCAACCCTGACTGCTCTTTAGAAGGCCAGATCCTGAAGTTGAAACTCAAGTACTTTGGCCACCTAATGAGAAGGAAGGATTCACTGGAGAAGAGCCTAATGCTGGGAAAGATTGAGGGCAATAGAAGAAGGGATGACAGAGAATAAGGTGGCTGGATGGAGTCACTGAAGCAATAGGCGTGAGCTTAAATGGACTCCAGAAGATGGTAGAGGACAGGAAGGCCTGGAGGAACGTTGTCCATGGGGTCGCAATGGGTTGAACACGACTTCGCAACTAACAACAATACTTTCTAATAAATGTTTAAAAATTAGAGAAACTAAATAATTCAGAAAATGCAGTAAAAAGTGCAGAAAATAATCAACCGTTAATTATGATATCTCACTGAGTGACTGGGGCAGTCATTTTTTTTTTTTTTTAGCCCAATCTATCTCATAGGGCTGTTCTAGGGAATAAAAATCAGTGAAAAGGAGAAAAAAAATACAATATCAGTTTAAATAATGACATCATCATCAACAACAACAACTAAAGTTTCCACTAAATCTCCAGAAAAGGCTATTCTGAACACTGGATGAGTTCAACAGATTTTTTTTTCCCCAAAAGCATTGTGTTTTAATTGAAATTTTATAATGGAATACTGTTTGAGAGGTGCCCCATGTACTATCTTACTGCAGGTTTTCCTTTCATACTACATAAGATCAAAAGCCATCATAATCTCCTTCCATGTTCTCCTAGGCACCACATAAGCAAATCCTTGACAGAATCCAGAGGAGATAATATTGTAACAATAATTTTGTAACATTCCAAAATTGATTTAGATGTGATATCAAGAGCCATAATCACTTCTCTCCTCTTTTAGCAGCACGCTGCATTTTTTTTCCTGCTGTAATATGTATATGGTTCTAAATAAAATTGTTTATAATCAAAATATGAGGTCAAATAATTCTAACTTAGTAAGTTGTTTTGCCAATTCCATTGTTATATTTCCAGATGTTCCAATAATTACCCAGAAAAACCTTTGCTGGGTTATTTTCTAATTGCTATATTTCAGTTATTAAGATTGATGTTTTATGATGTTTGGTAGAAACTCTGTGATAAAACACGAATGATGTTGCTTAGAGGAAGATTAGTATTACCTCGCTTTAGATTGTGTTTTACATCCTGTTTGGATGAGAGAATGGGTCTGGCTGAGAAATAGGGGAAAATCCTAACCTATCAAGATTTATTAATACACAAAGATGGAGAATTTAACATTAAGTCAAGAGAACAACTGACTTGAGAGGGACATAGTTTTTCAGATACAAAACTGAAAGTAAGATTTAATATAGACAAAATGGTAATTGGAATTGAAAAGCATAAAATGGAATTTGAAAATAAATTATGTACCAATTGTGAAGATATAATTGCAAAAACGTATGAACTTTTGTTAAGATTTGAAACTAGAGAAACAAGTCAGGGACTGTATGATAAAATGAGCTAGCAATTATTATTAAGTATAGATGAATGCATGAGAAAAATGTGGGTAAACAGGACAACATTTATAGTGTTATAATTTAAAATATTTTTTAATAAAATCATGTGCATGTTACCAGAGAAATGCTCAAAAATGAAAAAAAAAGTACCACAGGTCAATGTTGAAAATGTGAAAACATATTAAAGGACATTTCATCATTACATTTTTCACTTTTGAAAAGTCTAAGAAATATTGGCCGCAAATACATACAGTATAATGATACAAATAATTTTAAGAGATTAGTACCACAAAGACACCAACATTTTTTTAAACTCAGACTTATGAATAGCAAATTTAAAATTTGGAAAATTGATTTTGTATGTGGTAAGGGCAGCAAAATACACACAAGGATGGAAGACAAATGAAATTCCCAGAGTGGAGGAATGGTTCATGGAACTGACCATTTTGATCAGGGAGAAAACAGCAATTTAAAAAAAAAAAAAAAAAAAGATTTGAGACCTTTTATGGATTTTTTTTTGCTAAAAGAAGAAAAAAAGTGAAATGATTTAATGGTTGAAAAAGAAGACAGTTAAATAAAGGACTGGAAGGATTTTGAAACAGTTAAGAGGGAGAGGAGATGATCAGTTTGTTAATATCTGTTGATAAGATCATATGTCGTCTACTTTAGTTTCTTTAATTATTTCTCATTTTTGTTTTCTATGCATTTTATTGTCTTTTTCTTTTCCTTTTCTTTCTATTTTATTCATTAGATTTGCTTTTTACTTATGAAAAAATATTTAATAGCTTTTTAAAGAAAAAATAACCTGGCTTGATGTTTTCCCATTTTCCCAAAAGAGCCATGGTGGCACAGTGGTTAGAATGCAGTATTGCACGCAAACTCTGACCACAGTCAGGAGTTCGATCCTGATCAGCTCATGGTTGATTCCGCCTTCTGTTGTTCCAACGTCGGTAAAATGAGGATCCAGATTATTGGGAGCAATATGCTGACCCTGTAAACCACTTAGAAAGGGCTGTAAAGTACTGTGAAGCGGTATACAAGTCTAAGTGCTATTGCTGTTGTTATCATATTTTCCCATCCATTCTGAGCGACTCTAGTGCCATTTAGTATTGCTGCATTTATAACCAAAACTTGCTTTTCTTTAACTACAGTCAGTGGTTTTTTTCTAAAAAAAAAAAAGAAAGGTGCCAGAACTCACACACATCATACAACCCACCTTGCCTACCCTACAAGGTTCCATCCAAAAAAGGTGCCGGAACTCCATTCTGGGCATTCTATGAGAAAAAAAGCCCTGACTACAGTTATGTTTGGCAGGTTAAGCTCTAGATGTTTGTCCATTTGTGTCAGCTGCCACTGTATGCTTGCTTGTGTGCTTTGTTGCCATGCGGTGAACTCTGGGGAGAGTAGATGGGAGGGAGAATGCCTGGAGGAAAACAAAACTAACTGCTGTATCTCCCTGAGATACTGCTTCAAGGTCACCCAGCTGGGAGAAGAATGCAGCTGCATACCAACCTACACTTGAAATGACTGTTCTGAAAACATCTTGCTGAAACCTGATTGGTCATGAGTGTGTGTGTCAGTGATTGGAGGCGGTTAAGGGAGAAAAAGTTGAACTTAGGGATTTTGGTGCACGATTCTCAGTTCTGGCTATGCATTACTACAATGCACTTGACTTCTAATAAAACTATACCTTTCTCAGCAAATGGAGACAAGGATTGTTTCTACTTAGAGGTTTAAGTGTTTGGCAGGTCTGACAATTTGAATTTGAAACCCTATAAATGTTTTACATAATCATTCCGGAACACTTTTCCAATATTATGTTGTAAAAATAGTTGGATGCATCAGATCCATATTTTTTGCATTAATTGCAAAATTCATTTTTGCTATCTGATTTTATCACAGAGTCACTGACAATAAGTTGGACAGCCATATAAATTTTCATCAATAAATAAAATCTTGACTTATCTGGTCAATGTTGCTACAGCCCCTAATTATATGGTCAACAATCTTGTCTTTCTCTTTGCATAAGAGTTTTGAGTGTTTTTTTAATTTTAATTTTTGTTGCATTGCTAGTGCTTTTTCGGGTGCTGCAAATATCAAGCCTTTTGTCTCCTTCTTGATGGATCTTGCCAAGTTTTGTTAC